TTGTTGTTTGTAATTTTTTTTTTATTTGAACTTAAAGCATGAAATATTCAAACCTGATCTGGGTCACTAGGGAGTTCACCATGAAGATTTAAGATCATTCCTTCTTCTTCCATAGCTTTGAATACTTGATAATAATTCGTATATGATTCAATTCCTGAATCTGAATTAGTTGTAACACCTCTAGGATACGATTTAACACCTAAGATTACAATTAAACATTAAATTATTCAGCCAATATCAATAAAACGATGTTTTAAAAAGTGATGATAAATAAATGCATGCCAACAATTCCATGTGCTTTAGCTTTTCTTATTTCTTCAGGTGTCAATTCCGGACAAAGGTATAGACTCATAAGAAATGTGATATTAGGTGCCAACTCTTGAAGTTTGCCTTTATATGTTAAAGCTTGTTCTGTTGAGGTAATTGGTGGTTTTAAATTTGGCTATTATTAAACAAGAAAAGTTTATTAACATGTTATGATTTTTTTTAAATGTTATTAAAAGTACATCACCATAACATAACACAATGAAACACCTCCTTCAGCCACAAGAGGAACGACCAATTTCATTAAGGCATCTTGTCGTAAATGAATATGAAAATCACAGGCTGAGGTAATATTGAGTGCATTTAACATTTCTAAAAAATTTTCTATATACCAAAAAAAAAAAAAAGAATAGATGTTTCACGAACTTCACAATAAAGGTAATCTGCGATCTGTGAGGCGCGTTAATATTAATATTAATAAATTGTAATTTTTTCTCCTTTTAATGAAAAATATGAACGATCCTTTTATATCCTTTTGTAAGCGTAGATTTGAGAATACAAAAATCCATGTCAAAGAAAAGTGGCTCTCTGGTTCTATTCAAAAAATTTGTTCCAATGAATCCAGCAATGATACTTATAGTGAATTATATACTAAAATTTATAAAAAATTCTTGAAATCAAATCTAAAGGATTCCATTCACTCCACTATACCACAAAATATTGTTGACACACATCTTACAATGCTCGATGAAGGCAAACCAGCAATTTTACAAATAATCGACATTGTAGAAATTGGAGTTTCAACACAAAAATTATATGATATGTTAAATAGTTATTTATCCGGTTCGTTAAAACAAGGCCATAAATACAAAGATGTTAGTAAACAATTTAAGAATAATGTTCAAGATGTACAGCTTCCACGTTCTATTCTCAAGTTAACTTTGACTGATGGAAATCAAATTTTCGATGCAATAGAATGCAGTCCTATAAAAGATTTAAATTTATCTACACCAATTGGAACAAAGGTACATTAATATACATGTGTGCGAATATTTTTGAACAAATTTATTTGTTATATTTTTTAATTATATTCATTGTTATCTTGTTACAAATAATAAGATATCTGTAAATAAAACACAGATATTAAGAGGTTTCTTGTGTCTTAAACCAGATAATATAAATGTTTTAGGTGGATTTGAAACTATAGATCAATACAAATATTTAAATGTATTACTTGAAAAATTAAAAAGACAACTAGATGAAAAGAAAACAGGAGGAACTTCAAGGATTAATTGTTCTGACCATCGTAACTCAATATCACAATCAGAAATCCAAGATCTTAATGTCAATGAACCAATAGAAACTTTTCAAAAAAATCAAAAATCAAAACCTGATTATAATATTGATCAAATCGATTATGTTTCTTCGACACCAATGTTACTAGAACCAAAAGATCAAGATTTCAACGATCAAAAACATGATCCTGAATTTTTGCCTATGAATAATAGTCTTGATGATTACGATAACAATCACAACTACGTTTCCTCAACAAAAATGTCAATGAAACCAGAAGACAAAGACCTTGATGACAATAATACGAATGAATATTGGCAACACAATGAACCTGAGGCTTGGTCTAAAAATAATCATCCAGATTATATTAATAATAACGATCCAACGCCACTACCAATAAAACTAGAAGAGCAAGACTTTAATGACAATAATACGAATGAATATTGGCAACACAATAAACCCGAGGCTTGGTCTAAAAATAATCATCCAGATTATATTAATAATAACGATCCAACACCACTACCAATAAAACTAGAAGAGCAAGACTTTAATGACAATAATAACGATCCAACGCCACTACCAATAAAACTAGAAGAGCAAGACTTTAATGACAATAATATGAGTGAATATCGGCAATCCAATGAACCTCAAGTTTGGTCTAAAAATAATCATCTAGATTATACTAATAATAATGATTCAACGTCACTACCATTAAAGTCAGAGGGACAAGACTTCAATGACAATAATATGAGTGAATATTGGCAATCCAATGAACCTGAAATTTGGTCTAAAAATGATTATATTAATAATAATGATTCAACGCCACCACCATTAAAGCTAGAGGAACAAGACTTCAATGACAATGATTCGATCAAAAATGGCCAAACAAACGAGCCTGAATTTTGGTCTAATAATAATCCTGATTGTAATATACTAGAAAATCATCAAACAAATGAAGCAGAACCGACGGACAATTTTTATTGGGAAAACATTGGTAATGAACATATAATTGATGATTTTGATCTTGATGATGATGAATTAGAATGTCGCAGGTTTTCGATATTAAAACTTGCAGAAAAGACCGAGAACTTACATTTAGCAAATGAGAACAAACAAAATCAGCAAACTAAAGACTTATCAAAAGAAAATCATTTTAACGAAGATTTTGGATTTCATGAAAGTAATATTAATGACACAAAAAATGGTAATGTTCGATTATATTATAAGATTAGAAAAGGATTTGAAATATTGATATTGGATGATTATGATGTATGTGTATATTAACATTAATAATTTGATTGATTGATTAGACGAATGTCTTAAAAGTGAACCAGGGGAAAGGAAATTATCAATCGACGATTCATACAATCAAAAAATGCTTAAATCTTTTACTTCTGGGCCTGATAATCCAATTCAAATGGATTACGAACCAATCGAAAGAAAACTTTGTGAATTACCTGAAATATTAAAAAATAGACCATTGACGCCAATAATAGTTAATGTAATTAAAACTTTAATATTGTTGACAAATTGGGTTTGCAAATGCAAATAATTACTCTAATTAATTTAACATTTATTATTTCTTTAGGTTAATATAGACGAAATAAAAGCATTTAGCGCAAATTTTGATATTGGTCTATTAATGTGGATTATTATTAAAGATGATACCGCAAGTCAAGATGTAATAATATCAGAAAATGTATGATTTAATGATGCCTTTTTTTTTTAAAAAAAAGATTTTTATCTATAATTAATCAACTATAATATTTTTTAGATCCTTGAATCACTTTTTGAAATGGATGCTCAAGAATTTCGAAGAATTATTGCAGAGGGTGAAACCAGTCGTATTGTAAGTTTCATTATTATTGTTGCTTTATTAGAATTTAAGAAAGTTATTATATTTGGCAACTTACCAGTTTTAAAATGTTGCTTAGAATTTATACAAAAAAATATTGATTCCAATAAAAAAAATACTTTTATCAATGAAGAGATTTTGGTTGTTATTGAGTTTAGAGGAATCTACAGATTTGGATTTATTTGATTATTTTGAAGTATACAAATTACCAAAAGTTACAAAAATTATAAAATGCATTGAATGATTTTATTATTTTAATTGTGTAAATAAATAGCTGAATTAAAATCTTTATATAATGTAATGTATTTTTGCTTCTCAAAATTTATCAAATTAAAAATTCATTAGGCCCAAAAGATATTTGAGAGATATATCAAGGAACTTTAAGTATGGACGTATTCCCTTTAATTCAAGATTCTTCTTTAAACTATTCTGGGAAATAAGGTGAAATCACTTCACCTAGGAAGATTTTCCAATTGAAGGTATAAAAACTTAAAGATTCATATCAGCCAATTTGGTTTTTGGTCCTTATATCTTATTGTGTCTCGACGTTAAACACGAGTATTTTTAATGTGTAACTGGTCGGTACAATATAACCCTTGTTTCAACGGATTATAATTAAATTCGCGTTTCAACGGATTTTAAAAATTTTTGTTGCCATTATGTTAATAGTAATAGGGAAAAGAAAACCAGATCTAATAAAAGAACTTTCTACCATTGGGATCACAATACATTCCTTTGTCAAGAAACTTATCTTAATATGCTAGGACTTATTTTGAAAACATTAGAAATCATTTGATAAACAATGGTCTTTTACCAAGAATTCATGGTAATATTAAAAAAAGGATGCCTCAATGGAAAACTAAAATGCTGATTGATAAACATGTTGCAGAAGTAGTAAAGAATTTTCTGGAAAATTATGCAGAAGTCCATGGATTACCAAGTCCAGGAAGAAGTAATAATAGAATAAATCAATTGTATTCTTATCAGCTGAAATGAGCTATAAATCAGTGCACAAGACTTTCTAGCTGGTCTGGAAGAAAATAGTAATTTGAAATCCTTAAAATATGATGCCTTTAGAAAATTATGACATCAATTGACACCAGAAATTCAAATTATGAGTCCAAGGACTGACTTGTGTGATACTTGTCAGCATTTTAAAGATGATTTACACTATAATGCTTGCCAAGAGGAAGAAGCTAAAGATCATAAAGTTGTTTTTATAAGTTTTGTAATGTAATAATACCTAGTACTAGTTAATTACTAATTGGCAAAAACAATGTATTCAAATTTAATTTCAACAAAGTATATACAATATAAATATTTTATTACCAAATATATAAATTTTAGATTTATTAGTAGTGATTTTATTAAAGACAATGGGAATAGTATTAAAGATTATCAATTATTGGTAAAGAATGTTGGGAGAATGAAAATGAATAATTGGAAAGACATGAACCTTTACAGAAATAATGATAAAATAGGTGATTTATTAAACAAACATGTGGGATTTTAAATTATAAAATTATATAAATTTTAGATTAAAATTTAATTAAATAAATAAATATTATCTCTAGTATAAACAAATAATCTATATAATGTCTATAGTAAATAATAATAAGTTTTCTATCTCTATATATTTTATCTCTCCAATCAATCAATCAATCACAGTCAATCAATAACCTTCAGTGTCTAACAACATGTTATTAAGAATAATATCACTACCAAGATAAATATTATAAATAAAATTACTAACACTATTACTACCAAATCCATTATTATTATTATTATTATTATTATCATTATCATTATTATTATTATTATTATTATTATTATTATTATTATTATTATTATTATTATTATTATTAATGCTAATGATACTATTATTACTATCAGTAGATGTAGAATTAGCATTAATAATGGTTGAAGATGAGGGAGACAAGACAGTAGCTTTCCTAACCACTTGAAACACTTCATAATCTTCAATTCTAGCATACCCATTATCAATTGGCATAATGTTTGGATGATAGCTTCTATGTTTAAATTTGATAATATTGTTTTCCATTAGTAAATCGAATTTACCAAATGAAGGTCCAATTGATCTCCAATAATTTAAAGCATACTTGTGATCTGACTCAACTATTCTTGCTATTTTACCACCATTATTATTCCAATTGTTATTATCATTTTCATTGCCATTACTGAAAATTCCATTGCCATTACTGTCATCAAGGAAATTTTTACTTAGCCCACCACCACTTTGTATGAAACTAAAGATAAAAGAATCGGTATTATAATTGAACCTTGGCCATAAATGAGATGTCCATATATTTGGATTATAACCTCCAACAAAATATTCAGAATCTTGTAATTTTACAAGTGTTATTGTCCCAACAACATTATCACAATGTTTATGAAATGTTGATGATGAAAACCCATCTCTACTACCTCTTATCAATAATTTAAATTCATATGGTATCTGATTAATTGGATATGAATAATCAACATTATTATTAGTGGTGGTGGTGGTAGCACTACTAGTGGTAGCAATATTATTAGTGTTATGATTATCTACACCACCATTATTATTACTTGTTAAATCCATTTTATCTATCCATGAGGCTATAGTTATTGCATGGTGTACACTCATAATTGTTGAAATTATTGCTCCACGATATGGCAAAATTGTAAGATTTTTTGGTCGATAAATTGTCAATGATGATGTGAATTCCTTTGTTGTTAAAGGAGAACTATTGGTGACTGCATTATTGGAGGTGATGGGCAAATGAAATTTCTCCATTGTGTCATAGAATTCACCCAATGATTTTTTGAAAGGCTTAACTCTTGTTAGAAAGTAATTAGAATTCATATGATAAAATCTAACATGTTTAGCACATTTTTGGATTATTAACCCAAATCTTTTAAAATTTTCTGAACTCCATTTACTTATATCTTTTGATAAGTTATTGGTGGTAGTAGTAATGATTGTAGTAATACTGTTATTATTATTAATATCATTTTCATCATCATTATTATCATTATCATTATTGTAAGTATTATTATTATTATTATTACTAGTGAATCCATAGTAACAATTATCAGCACTATCACCACTATCACTATTATTAGTACCAGTAGTCGTAATAATTCTATTGATACCCCATTGTACCAATTTTTCCCAAATCACCATTTCTTCCATTTCTAATTCATCATCCTTTAATAATTGTTCCAAGCAATCTTCTGGCAATAATAAAAATTCATCTGAGTCAAATAACAGATTAGGATATTTGCGAATACGATCTAAACAGAAATCTTGTAATTTCTTTAATGCATTTGTGTTAAAAGTAATACGGAAGATTATGGGAAGGTTGTCTTTAAGCCATTGGATATGTTTATTTAGTAATAATGTTTGTGTGTAATCAATAAACTCGTCCAATAATAATTCATCAGCTGCCATCAAGCATTCAAATATTACCAAAGGTTCTTTCTCTTCTTCGTCAAACATGATTTTTCCTCCATAAATAAACCTATTAATAAAAGCATGTATATTATATATATATACATTGGTTGAGACTTACAGAAGAAAAACGAAATAACTTTATAAAAAATAAATATACAAACTTTAAAATAATTTCAAAAACAAATGGAGAAATATTTGGTTTTCTGAATTGGATAATTCCATTTTCTCTTTTTATCCATTCTTTTTTCAAATAATTAGCAAAATATGTGGACCTTACACGTAAAATGTTGGAATGAACTTGAAAAGTTTTTACAATATTAGTTGTTGTCACTGCTATGTCTTCCTCACCATTACCACTATTATTGTTGTTGTTGTTGTTGTTGTTGTTGTTAAAAAAATAGCCTCCTCCTCCACCTATATGTATTACCATATCATTCAATAATTTCAACAAATCATAAGCTAGTGTTGAACAGAATAATGATGTTGACAGTTTTGGTGTTGATGATAATGTCGATGTTGTTAATAACAATTGCATTTTAAATTTTAAATTTTTGAGAATAAAAGGCGAGGAATAAAAAATTTTGATTTAGTGTTTACTGAAAAAGTACTCCAGCTACAATTCCAGATGTCTTTTTATGGTGTTCTAACAAATTGTCATAATATTATCTTTATTAAAAGAATTACTCCAACAAATATAGATGGATGACGATAATAATAAATAACTTCAAAAATCCAATTGTTATACAAAAAATATCAATATATGTGTAACATATTGCCCTATATGACAAACCCCTTTTCACATGTACATTCATAAATGGATCCTCCTCATTTCTAAACACTCTATTCGTTTAGGTTTAACCCCAAAACAATTTCAACATCGAGTGAACCAAGAATCGAATGAATGAAGCATCTGACTTTCATGAGTAATCATAGTCACAAAGATCATCAACATCTAAATGTTTTACACTGCTGATTGTTCATAAAAAACTGGTGGATTTAAAAACCTGCCCTTTCTATGGTTGTTCGTATTCAATATTATTAATAAACCTGTCTGTATTGACAGCTACAAAAAAAAAAAAATAACAGAATAATTATGTATATATTTAAAGATGACAGTGTTACCAGGGATTATTTTTAAGCTATTTGCTAGGACATGTGCGGTGTTAGCATATTGCTATCATATTAAAATGCGCTGACCACACATCAACAGCAAACTAATATGCGGTCAATAATTTTACATATAATTTATTGAACACACGTTGCTCTTTGGAATAACAATGTTCAAAAGACTAACTCAAAAGCTAACTCAAATCAATTGAGTGTTCATTTAAAGTTTCTAGATTCATTTGGTCATGAATTCGAAGCGTCCGAGTGTTTGTTTTCGGTATAATTGTGTGCTCGTTGTAAAAATATTTCAATAATTGAGGGATTTTGTAGCTTGATTTGTAGTTACCTGAAAATGAACGAATTGACCATATATGATGTCGAGGGTCGTTTAATAAAATTCAAATCTCGAAATATTTGAAATCTAATAATAATCCAAACTTAATTTGAATCACAAAAATTAATCTAAAAGAAGATATTAACAAGTAAAGGTGACATGTGTTAATGAGGATCATAAAGGTTGCTTGTTTTATTTGCCTCTTTATTTACAGTGTTGTTTAGTTTTTTCGTTTTTGTGTACTTCCAATAGCCATGACTCCATATATATTTTGAAAATAATGATCTATAATGTAATGTGATAGTTGTAATCAGTGTTGTCAGCGAACACGGACATAGACACGGACTGTCCGTGTCCGTCACCTTTAAATGTCCCGGACCATTCTTGGACAAAAATATAAAATTTTGCCTACTACCTCTTTCTTAAAGCTTTG